TATATATATATATATATATCACTTAAAGAATACAACAATCTGATACCTAGTGTTTTAATAATGGATAACTCATAACATGTTTGGCCATTGTAAGGTTTAAAGCCTCAAAGGGATAGCGAACTAAGTCCTATATGAACTTCAGTTTCAGCAAGTTCTAGCATGATAGTGTGAAAATATGTGGGAAAGGTAATAATAATTAGATGTGCTGCCATGCCAACAAACAAATATATTAAATCAAAGAGACAGTTGATTAATTATTCATTATTTAACTTTGTAATGAACTGTCTAAATCTTATTAACATGGAATTTGTTCATTTTAATTTTGAACCCTCCATATATTATACATTACTATGAATCTTCCATGATAAATTTTGTAGCACAATCTGTTGTAATTAATGCATATTATAATTAGTATATTTGCACTATTTAAGGAAATTACCAGTAATGTTACTGTTATCTGTAATTTTATGAAATAAATAAATACATATTTAAGTGCAAGGTCATTTATAATAAAAGTTGTTAACAAATATCATACATGACCATCAGCACAGAAAAGAAACCTGCATTCTGAATTTCAATAACTCATTCCTAACTTTGTATCATACACAACAATACAAGATATGTCCTTATGAGACGAAAAGGTTCAATGAACTAGGTGCAGTTCTAAGTTCTAAATTAGCCATGGTTCGAGTAAACGTAAGGATGGAAAAGATTCAGAATGACTGTAGGAAAGGGTGCATAGCATGGGAGTGCAGAGCAGGACAAGGTATAGAGTAGAAAAGCAGGTAATGTGGTATACGTGGTTTAGGCTGCAAGAGTGACGAGGTCGGAGAGTGGTGATGCAGCTCGTGGCAGAGACTCGACACTCAGAAGGCGCAGCAACTCTTCCTCCTCACGATCAGATGCAGATGCGGCCCAATCAGGGTCCGAATCAGTCACCACCTGCGCACACGCACCCAGCCCCCCACATCTCTCTCTCTCTCTTTTCTTTCTCTGTTCTTAATTTTTTTTTTTTGG